TGTGTCATGAAACCCCAACCCGCGACCCACCTAACCCTAACCCAGCTCGCACGACTCGCACGGTGGACACCTCTATCCTTCTCTATCTCTTCAATTTTTAACAATTGAGGAAGGTTAGGGTTTTTTTTTTAAAAAAAAATTCCCAATTTGTATCTTTATGTCTCTCTCCTATTTTGTTATGGCTAATTATTCTGTTTAATTTACTTGGTTTGATTTTTGTGTTAGATTCAATTAATTGTGGGGATTTTGGATTTAGGTTTGTGTTTGGGGGTTTGTAATTGTGGTTTCGGTGGGGCTGGGGGATCGTGGATGGGTTACAGTGGTTTTCGTCGGTGGGGGAGTGGGGTTGGGTTGTGGTGGGGTTGTGAGGGTACGGTGGTTGCTGGGTTTTGGGGTGGTTTTTTTTTTTTAAAAAAAAAAATTAATTTATTTATAAAATCATAGCAAAATTATTATCTTCTTTTTTTTGTTTTTTTATTTGTAAGAAATCAGTATTGCTTTTTAATTACTTTTGTTTTTTAAATTAATGTTAATGAGAAAATTAATGTGTCAAAAAAAAAAGGAAAATGACAAATAATAAATTAAGGTCCCTAAACTCAGCAAAAAAATGAAACGTGCTAAAGAAAATGGGTTGAAAAAATATTAAAATATAAAAACCAACATCCCTAAAATATTGATTACTCAAAGTCCCTAAACTATTTTACTGACTCGTAGTCCCTAAACTAATGCTTAGTCAGCATAGTCTCTAAACTTTTGCCTAGAAAACACCTAAAGTGGTGGAGGAGGGACAAAAACATACACAAAAAAGTTGACAGGGACTAAAAGTGTACAAATACAAAAGCTTATGGACTGTATTTTACCTTTACTCAACAATACATTGTGATAGTTTTCTCTCAAGACAATATCCTAATTTTTATAGATATATACAATAGATAATATACATTACAAGGTTGTCCTACCCAAATACTTTGATTAGATTAAATGCATGTAATAGTGCTTTAAAATTTCAAAAACAAAAGTACAACATTTATAATAGCAATTTTAATTAAAAGAGCAAATTAGCTTGCTATACCACATAAGCTTTTAAGCTCATTGTTATTTTAGCTCCAATGGTTAGCTAAAGACACACCAGCAACAACGCATGTTAATTTCTGGTGTTTCCTTATTTTTTTTTAATAAATTTTTTATATTTTAGGAATTATATTACGTACAATAAAAATTGTCATAGATAACTATATAAAATAATTAAAAATCTTTTACATTCTATAAATGGACGTATATGCAACTACTATAAGTCTATAAGTATGTGTTTTGGCAAATATAATTACTTTAAAAGTATGAAAACTTTGAGAATTTTTTTTTAAGAATATATAATCTTCATGTACTTGACAATAATAATTACTGAATTAGGGAAAAAAAATTCCATATATGAATATAAATACTTCTTTGATTAATAGTTAGAAATAAAAAGAATACATCGATTTTGTCTTTGAAAAATTAAATTACCCATACGATCAAAGATACTACAAGAAAACACATTTTTAGCGATCAATATTAACGATGGGCGTCAAATCAGTTGGTAAAATGAAATATTAGCAAATAATTTTGAAAGCATTCGCTAATTACCGACCGTTAAGATAATAATCAATCGCTAATTATCGATTGTTTTAAAAAGCAGTCATTCGACATAATTTTAAAAATACTCATTTGACTAAAGTACTAAACAACTCTTGCTTTCACGTGATATTCAGTATTTAAATTTTTGTAAAGACATGAAATAATAAGAAAATAACTATATTTTTGTAAAAATTTCACAATAATTTTAGAATTTTTTTATTAAATATAATGCTAATTTAATAATGAAAATTAAAATATTCCGTGCATGGCACGAGACCTAACCTATTTGTTTAAGTGGACCACACCTCCTTCATTTACGTTGATAAATTTCATTTTTATTATTCTAATTTGTTTTATTTTAGCAAGTTTTTTTCCAAGCAAATTAGCCTTGCCAATTAAGCTAATTGTATTTTCTAACTCCAATGGTTAAGCTAGTAGTTAGGGATTATTTAATATTTCAAGCAAGTCCCTAGGTACAACCATTGAAGTTGCTCTAAGTTAGCTAATAGAATAAAGATAATCGACCCCGTTATGTATTTATGTACATTGCTTATATTGTTGATATGTGACAGTGTCATGTTGATATCAAGCATTGAACTCAGGTCATTAGAAAATAAATAAGAAGGCATACCATCTTTGCTATCTAACACGTTAATTTGCTTATTTATTCTTCTTAAATATATGTAATGTATGGCCCGAGTTTTTTTTTTTTTTTTTTTTTTTTGTATTTTGTGCAAATTATTTTCTTCAACTAAATCTATAATAAAAGTATTTAAGATTATTTTTTCAAAAAAAAAAGTATTTAAGATTAGTATAATACATGAAAACTATAATACAAAGCAGAGAATATTTAATGTATAGACCCGGGGCATCGCCCGGGCTATACACTAGTTTAATATTTATACACTGCACAAATAACAGAGCTGGCAAACATATGGTTTTGTGCTCATGTTTCAAGAGAGAAGGGTTGGAGAACCTCAACGCTAATAATCCAACCTATTTAATTATACGTGTCATGTTGACCTTTAATTAAACATGTTGAAAATCCTTGACAGAAATCTGCTTTTCATTATCTGATTTATGTCATGTTGTGTTAGCTTTTTTTTTTTTTTTGTGAAAAAAAAAGTTATTTGTTTTAAAGATTTACCATCAATTCCAAATTATTGATTGGATATTTTTCTTAGAAAGAATTAAGCTCAATAACTTATTAATACCAGCTTAATAATTCATATAAAAGCCTTCTACAATCAGAAATACACTAGAATATTTCAAATCTATAATCAATGGTATTTTGTTCAAAGAGATAGAGCTTAGTTAAAATAATTGGTGTCAAATTTTTCTTTGTAATTTGTGATGAATATAAGCCTTTTCTTACGTTGATACCCTGGAAACGTAATACTCCGTAGCTTACATCAGTTGGCAACAATAATATACGCACTTCGTACAGCAGCTGCATCATTCAAGCTAAATTAGGTGATATATATACAATAATTATTACTCCGTATTTATTATATTTATAAAAGTCTTCTAAAATTGATGATTATTCAATTTTTGTGACCTTGTATATAAATGAATGCATAGAATAGCATTCCTTCTGTTTTTATAATAATCGCAGTACTTTGACTGACATACATGTCAATGCACAATTTAAAATATATTATTAATTAAGAAGTATAAAAGCTTTATCTATTAAAAATACACATAAACACTAATCCAAAAATATTTTACATAGCAATATATATATGTTTTTAAAGTGGAAAGCTAAACGTCGCCCTCGAATCTCTAACTAACGCCCGCAAAATAAACTAAAATTACAAATTTACCCTTTTTATCAAAAAAATTACCCCCTCAATTTACCCCCTCTTCATACTACTATACCCACCACCACCACCTCCTCCTCCTCTTTTAACCACCAACTCCTTACCTCCGGTTTTACGATCTACACAGCCGCGGTAATGACAAGTAAGGACAAAGGAAAGTCGGTCGCTGACGGAGAAAATGTTTTTTTTTTTTATTTGCGGCAAACACCTAGATTTTTCGTACGTCCTAGGCTCAAACGCCTAGTTCTTGTGAACAACCGTGTGGTTGTATGAAAAATATGGTCGTTTGAGGTGAAACGCCTAGTTTTTTAGAATACCCTAGGCTAAAACGCCTAGTTTTTTCGAATAGCCTAGGATGTTTCGAAAAAACTAGGCGTTTCAGCCTAGGGTATTCTAAAAAACTAGGCGTTTCAGCCTAGGGTATTCTAAAAAACTAGGCGTTTCCTGGGTTTTGAATCTTTTTAAAAAATTTATCGCGACGTACCGTTTTCATACGGTTTGACGAGCCTTCTACAAGCGTCTAAGGTTGTGTTTCATGTATTTCGCCGTTGTCCATAAGATCTAACGAAATTGATTTTGTAAAATTTTAAAAATTTGGTTGATTTTGAAACTCACGGTGGTTTGGGTGGTTGTTCGATGAGCGTTGGTGGCCGTTGACTACTAGAGAGAACGGTAAAAAATTTTGTGGCCGTTGATTTTATTTTATTTTGCGGGCGTTAGTTAGATATTTGAGGGCGATATTTAACAACCCCCGTTTTTAAAAGATAAAGTCAAAGTAAGCATATAAATAGTGCAAAAGTCATAATATTGTGATTATTACAAAATAGAGGGAGTAGTATACATTATTTATCAATTCATGTTATTCATTGTCCCATACTTGTTGTAAATTTTGTCTTTGGTTGTTGGAAACATCACAATCAAATTTGTAAGTGTAGAATACTATGTAGAAATTAATCAAGATGAAAAAGTATAGTCATTTAAGTTGCTGGAACATCATGATTGATGAATATAGAAGTCCACAATAATCCGATAAAAAAAACTGATATATATATACTACTTCCGTTAAATGTTATGTGCAACTTTGGGGTATTATTTGTGAGATGTAAAATATTCCGAAATTGCACATAACATTTAACGGAAGTAGTATAATGAATGACTTGTATATCTACCTAATGACAAAATATTGTGCTTAATAGACGTCCACAATAATCCGACAAAAAAATTCATTATAAATGTACTAATCTTTTTTGAGGGGAATATATGTACTAATCGTAAACAAATTTTAATGATTATCATACAAGTTTGATTCTACTCTTTCATTTTGTTTTCCCAAGTGACAAATAAATTAAAGGTGTATTAAAAAAAAAAAAAAAAAAAAAAACAAAGGCAGGTTTGACAATTATGGTCAAACTCAAGCACAGTTACTGTATGACTTGTGAGTATATATCTTTAATATAGTTATTTGTAAAAAAAAAAAAAAAAAAAAAAAAAAAAAAAGAAAAAGAAAAAATATATATATATACCGTAAAAAGAAAAGAAAAGAAAAAAGAGAGAGAGAGAGATAGTAATTATAAAGATGTTCCATTTAAAATATTTTTGGTCGATCTTGTTGGAATTTTGATTATAATTAATTATGGAAAAAGTATATCTAAGGAGGGACGTAAATCTGCATTTGCTTCAAAATATGTTCGAAATTATCAGTAGACCTCTCAACTGGATGTGTATGTACTCCTTCATATGTTGTTACCACCACTTCTTCATCTTTTGTTAGTCTCTGCACTTGCTTCTTTACGTTACACCCTCCATGAGTACATCGATAATAGCTTCTGCCATCATAATTAAATATGCGTCAATTAACTGTTAGTCAGGGGAGGTAAATACTCTAAAATAAACAATACCTCTTACATATCAATTCAGTCTAACTTTGATGAAAGTCAATATCATTTGGAACTTGGGAGAGGGAGGGAAAGTTAAGGGAACTTTTACCCTAATGATTAATTCTCATGACCTTGAATTGTTAAAACTATTATGATTTATGAGACCAAACATTTACCATTAGTTTAGGCTTGAATCCTAGCTGGATGAATAAGATAGATGGTACGGTGAATTTGTATTATACGAAGTGTGTATAATGTATAATCTGATCTAGTCTTTTTACGAACATATCATTTGTAAATCCGTTATAATGCGACACATATGAAACGCCACGTGTTAGTAAATGGGATGTGCAAAAAGGTGTCTGTTGCTTAGGTATGCATGCATTGCCTTAAATTGTGCCAACTGTACATTTCATTAGCAAGCTATATATACTCGATCTGTCTATTCGGGAAACTAGGTCAGGTTCGGTGAAATCAAGTCAATTTTATTTTAAAATAGTCATATTAAATTATTGCCTCCATATGAATCGAAATCTTAATCGGGTTTTTTTTAATCGATTCAGATTGAATCGGTCGGATTAGTTATTTGACACCTTCATATCCGAGTGTAGTGTATCTTTCAAATATATGTTTTTTGGGGAGTTGGCCTAACAATAATAGTAATAAAGACTTGAATTAATAACTTTTGCAAGGTGCTTAGCTATCTCATAATTATTGGCTTCCCTACCCGGCCAAGTGGCCAACCCTGGGCTCCTACATGCTCACGCTCCCTACATTCAATTTCAGGAAAAAGAGTACGGAAACTGCCTCCACACTCTCATCACATCCTAAATGACGTTAGTTGTCCTGCATGCGCACGCTATCTAACTGTTACTTGTTAGGGGTTGGGTGATTAGTGATACGGATACTCAATTATTAGAGATAGCCAGACAGGCAAGCTTCAGTTGTGACTTGTGAAAGAGAGGCGTCGTAGTACTGCTTCCGATACACTTTACCTAGGATCAAAGCATCGAGCATGGTGCTCCCGGACCACCGGTGTTGTGAAGTTTATGGTTGGACTAACATGTTAGCTAGTAATAGTGCACATGTGTCAACAAAATGCATGTAGTGAACGTGCCAGGAGGAACGAATTGAACACGGTGCATAAACATATTTTTTTTTTTATTTTTTTTTATTTTTTTTTTTCAAAGGCTGGTGCATAAACTTTTGGGTACATTGCGTGTTTTGTAATTTTACCATACAATTACCCATTTTAGAATAAGTTAAATTTAGGATAATTTTTAATCTGCTTTAGAGTAAGTATATAACTTGTAATCAATTTTTTTTATTGTAACTTAAGATGTTCATAATTCTTTGTAATTTTTAAGCTATTGATTTTATAAACGATAACGTAATTTAATAGTTTTATACATTATGAATTGAATAATTTGAACAGGGTAAATTTTTTATAAAGGAAGTAATTTGTTACTAAAAGATATTCCTTATTCATATGTAAGTTTTATTCAGTTGTAACTTTTGATTAATTCAAGGTAGCATCACCTCTAAATCTCTAATGTACAATAATTATTCTACAAATAATTTAATTTGATTGATGATTTAGATTTAATTTGTAAATCACAATAAAGGTTATTGATTGAAGTTTCATTTTGAGGAAATTTGTGACAAAATTTCGGAAGGAAATAAATTATTTTTGAGAGGTACATGCTCATCGGACAAATTGTTCACACCAAAAATATATGTATTGACACATCAAAAAAAGAAATAGGGCATACCAAAATGGATTAAAATGGATTTCTAAATAGACTTTTTGATTTTAGAATTTTTGTGCCGATGATGGATTTTTCAATGTGTACTTTTCCATACATTAGTCAATTAAAAGCTAACATCCACAGATACTAGTAATTAAGTTGAAATAAGATTGAAATTAAATCTAGCTACTGTTATGACAACTCCTTATTCCCCCAGATTTACATAGAGTTAGGTACATTCAAAGGGTAGTTTTTTAGCTTACCTTGCATCCGCATCACCGCATGTAAATATTTTTTTATTATTATGACTTAAGTTATTACAAGTATTTACTATTGTTAATTTATAGTAATATATACCAGTTGTATCGTACCATCGTTTTGCAAAAAGAACATATTATAAACATGTAAGAAAACATACAACTATAGTGAAAAGAACATACTATTAAAATGTAGTGAACATATACCTAAAGTAAAAAAGAGCATCTTTGCACCAAAAAAAAGAGTGAAACGAACATATGTCCATGTTCTTTGATTGTCAGTGTAGTGTACTTTTATTTGTGAAATGTTATTTGAATTTTGTCTTGAAATTATGGTGGATATATATAAATAATGTTCATTACATAATATTCATGTTCTTTATTAATATTACATATAGATGTTCTTTAGATAAAAAAAATTAATAAAAAAAAATAAAATAAAATTGTAGGTTCTTTACAAAACTGTTATATATTGTTTACAAAACAACGGTATGTTCTTTTCAAAACAGTTACATATTCTTTTCGCGTTTTTAGTCTATACCAAGCAAGGAACAGACTGTTGTACCTTAAAATTTTCAATATATACTGCGTAGTCATTGCCATTAGTAAGTTGACAAAATTGACGATCATGCAAATTATTATTATTATTATTATTATTATTATTATTATTATTATTATTATTATTATTATTATTATTTATGAGTAAGATTAGAGCAATCTAATATTACTCCTATTTCTAAAAGCTTTTTGTATTGAATGGTATTTGTCTCACAAAATAAAGTTAAAACAAGAATAATTTTTAGAGAAGGAAGGGTGTTTTTCATGTAGCACTATTTCTCATTATAAAAAATTTGAAAAGTTCTATTACCCACAAGGCCACATGTAAGATATCCTATTTTCCTCCATCTATCCTTTCTCCTAACCCCTTACACCCATTTATCTCACTTCTTTTATCCCACCCAATAATAATAATAATAATAATAATAATAATAATAATAATAATGAATGCAAAATGATAATAAACAAATATAATAATGTTTGTTGTTACCAAATTAAATCATTCTAAGGTTATACTTTGTATGTGCTAGGACAAGACCGGGATGATAATTAACTAGGTTTAATTTAGAACAAACTTAACAAAGGATGGTTCGGACCTAGATTGATATATAACAATTACTAGGTTCTAATAAATTTAAAATAAGTTACAAATAAAAAGTGCAATGAAAACACTCTTATTAGTTAGTTCACATTCTACTGATTCTAGGTTGCAATATCAAATTCATCAAATAGATTTAATATTACCTTCATCCATTAATTAGATTCCTACTTCTAGTATGCATTTATCCCTCACATAATAGAGAGAATTAGGAATCTAAGTAAGGGACGGAGGAAGTAAGATAATAATCTTAATTCTTAATAAGTGTAAAGCGAAAAGAACACACTCTTATTAGTTGGTTCAAATTCCATTATGTCGTATCAAAGTCATTGGCTATTGACGATGAATATTGCTGATTATGCATATTTTGCCAATTACAAGTTCCTTGATTAGATAGCCCTCTTTATTTTCTTCTTGAAATGATATAATTAGAATCCATCATTTTCATGCTAAAGATAGCACGCATTCAAGAGGGTTAGCATGAAATACAAGACTTAATAAAATTAATAACCAATTAGATTGGTGCAAATAAAACAACTCCAATTATAGCTTAAAGTTGGTAAATTTTATTACCAAATTAACCGGCTAATAATTCTACCTTTAATTTGTAGAATTTCATAAATAAGAAATTTCTTTGAGTCATCAAACTACAAGTAGATAGATAGATGATCGTAGGATCTTCATGAACCTCAGGTGTTTTTTTGGTCACAAAAGTGAAAAGCATGTGTAAAATATATTTATTTTAAAAAAGATTTCTTCCCTTTTTTTGACAAAATTATTAATCATTCCAATTTTCCAAATATTAAAACATTAAAAAATAATGAAAATAAAATTTAAGTATCACTCTAAAGACTTTGCTGATCGGCAACTGCCAATATACTCCCTCCGTTACATATTAATTCGCAACAAAGAAATATATTATGTCTCACAAATAATACCCCTTTGTTGCAAGTAATATGTAACGGAGGGTGTATATTTTTTTTTCTTTCACATTGCTGATTAAAATAATTTTAGTGATTACACTATTTATATTTAATTTATGTTCAAATCACCTAAGTTAAAAAAATTAATTTTAACAAAAAATAAGTTAAATTCATTAAAACAAGTTTTAACCAAGAAAATGTTGTGTTTTCTAAAGAACAAATAGCAATTCATTACAATGATTAGTTTAAATTAGAAGATATAATTTAATTTCAGTAGAAGTAATTTAAGAAAAACTATTTAATTTCAATAAATACCAATAATGCATTTCTCATACATGAACTTGTTTATTTTGTAGCTTTAAATTGAATTTTAATAATTGGGATCGCGCTATTGATTAACTATCTTTTATTGATTCAAATGATTGATACTAATTTTAATAAATCACATAATTATTGTTGTAAAAAACAATCACATAGTTAAAATTAAATGTTAAAGAATTGATTGATTGATTATATAATGCAGTATATTAAAAATTACCTAGGAAATTTGTTGTTCTTGACAGCCTTTTGCCCATATTTTCTCCAACGATAACCATCATCAAGTATATCAACCTGGCTCCTTGTATGAAAAGCATACCTATGCCTTCTCAATTTCATTTTCTCCTTGTTATCCTTCTTGTTCTCTTTAATTCCGCCACTCGACGATCCAACATATTCATTAGGAGCTAATCTTTTTCCATTATCATGTTGAAAATCCATATCCATCTCCATCCCTAGCTCAGTCTTTGTATTCGTCGTATTTATCCCAATAAGTCCATTCTTGTAAACATCAATCAAAGACAACGAAAAAGAAGAAGAGATGGGTGTATGATGAGAGATTGGAATAATGTTTGTCATTGAGAAAGGAAAATTTACTAAGGGTATTGATGAAAATGGAGTAGTAGTCATAGTAATAATGTTTTTTAGCTTCTATGAAAGAGAAAGAGAGGGAGAGAGAGAGAGTGAGAAAGAATGAATGAGGGGAGAACAACGATATGATACGTTTCTAAATGGAATTATGGATGAAGACTAGTACAAGGAATTGGAGGTAGTAGAAGTCAAGAAGTTTTGTCATTCATGCAGTCATAGAAGGTAGAATTTGTGGAAAAAGGATATTATAGGCGGCTAGTGAAGCCCCGGCTGCATATTATTTGAGATCCGTATTGAATGTAACTTGTTTTAATATCGTGCGATACACAGTTTTATAGTACAGAGTATTGTTAAATTTAATATAAGTTATTGGCTCGGCGATGACCGGGTCATTATAAATTTATTACTTTAATCGAATTATATATATTTTAATTTGTTTGTCACTACGATATTAAATAGTGATTTGAAAAAAAAAAATTAAAGATGATAGGTTAAGTAGTTTGTTGTTTGTATAAGCTAGTTTGACTATAAGAATAATTTTTTGTTAGTAAATATAAGGTACATAATAAACCAAATCCGTTGTGAAAAGAAATTTGAAAAAAAAAAATGGAGTTATGTTTAATTTCTTACAAATTTATTAGTGTGCAATTATTAAGGTGTTACATTTCAAAGGGAAATTTAAATAGGGTGTTGCATATTAAGAGTTTTTCAATAATGTATGGAGTTTTTCAATCATTAATGGACTGGTACGATGTGGCGTCACATATATATCAAATGGCAAAATTGGTGACACGTGGTAAAAAAAACATGTCTTGCCATGAGTTTTAATAATATACTATGTACTCCGTATATTGATTTTATTTGATTTCGAAAGTTTCGTTCATTTATGTTGTGTTTAGTTCATCTTATTTTTATTTATTATCCCTCTATTTTTATTTAAGTGCTTTATATTGATTAAGTATGTATGTCAATACAAAACTTTGACCAATAATATATTTGATTATCAATAAGTATACAAACATATAAAATATTAGTAATTTATTTATTGAGAAGATTCCAATAAGCACCACAAATTGAAAAAACTAAATGGGCACCGATTCAAAACCCCCCTAAGACACTAGTTTTGAACTGGTGTTGATATGGTTGGTACCAAAACCAAATGATTAAGGCACTAGTGCCCTTTTGTTATAAAAGGCATCGATTCAAATGCCAAACCAGTGTCCACTGGTTAATGGTTTGGCCTCTGAGTCAGTGCCCTTTATGCGTGTCTATTTTTTTTTTTCTTTTTTCACCTAAATTGACCAGCAGACACTTGAATATATACATAAAACACAAATATTTTCATTTTTTGGCAACTAATATTTTCATTAATAATTTGTAATTTTACATTTGAAAAAAATGAAAAAAAAAAAAAAAAAACACAATTTTGATCACCAAATGTCAAATGACTTACGATTAGCTACTATAACAAGTTACTGCATTTTCAACAGGAACAAATTATTAACTTTTTTTTTGTAACTTTGGATATTGTAGCCATGTCTAAAATCAAGCCTAGCATTCTACAAAGCTCATATCTATTTAGCTTGAGAATCAATAGTTAGTACAAGCTTGAGCTATAATATATGGTAATTTAAAGACCGCACAAAATCAACCACTCCATCAAGTTTAAAGGTCTAGCAGCCAGTGAATACAATACTCTTTTCACATATGGTACAATTGATTGCAAGCTTTAGATTTTTTTTCAAGTCCCATTTGCATGAAAGAAAAGAAAAGGACATAAATTTCAATTTCATTGAGCAGAGTTGCATACTTTAAGGTATAATTTTGAATGAAGATATTCATCATCCAATAGAAATTGTGTGAACCACTTAATGAGAAGTTTCTCCGTAAAGAAAACAAAATTCAATCAAATTAGTTCTTGAACATCAAAATTAAAGAAATAGTGGATTAGAATGATCCATTGCTAGGATAGTTTCGGATTTAAATCTATATATTATTCCATGAGAATTTTGTAAATTGCACTAGATTGCTAAAAAATGTAAACAAACACAAGAGTACATTGTAAATTGTATTGAACTATGTCGTGTTTTCTACTCAAAAACAAAGTAATTAAGGCCCTGATAGACATTAGGATTATGGTTAGAATTTTGAACCATTCAAGTTACCCCTTAAACCACTAGGTAACATTACCACCTTCTACCTGATACAATCTTCTTAATATATATATAGTGTCTCTCGTTCCATTATATAGAAGACGACTACAATAAGCAAAAGTTAATACAAAGTACATGATTTTGAGGTTGAAAGTTATTAGATTCATGGTCATAGTAAAAATAATTTAGGTTGAAAATTACTTTAGGAGTTATTCTTTCTTGAAAATTAATTTAGGTTGAAAATTATTAGATTCACGGTCATTGTAAAAATAATTTAGGTTGAAAATTACTTTAGGAGTTATTCTTTCTTGAAAATTAGGATCTTATTTTCATTTAAAAGGGGGAGGGGGTTAGGAGGGAAAATGGGGGTAATTTGGGAGGGAAAATCTACTAAAGCAAGCAGTTTATGCTTTAGGGCATGTTCACTACAGCTTAATTTTAGTTCAATTCAGTTCAGCTCCAATCAGTTCAGTTTTGTTCAGTTCAACTCCAAATTTCCTTCTCTCATAAATAATCATTTCAGCTCAATTCAGTTCTGTAGGCGTCGTTTGAAGTGCGCCTACGTTAAGCATGTTGTGAATATGCTTGACACTCATAGGAAGTGGGAATTGACATATACGATTAGGGATAAGGAAATTAAGAAGGGAGCCGCCAACAAGTTTGTAAGGAACTTGTAAACCGTTCACGGATCATTTAAGGTAACCACGATTAAGGGACAACGAAAGGCAACAACGATTGACCCGTGAAGGTTACACCCCATTCATAATCAATGAGATTATTAACTTTATATGGTTCGGAACCACGAAAGGAGGATCGGGGATGATGATACGAAGTGAGTCATGGAGTCACATTCGCCCGTATTGGCATCTACTCGATTCTTACTGTGAAAAGTGATTCATGCGATCTCAAAGGCATACAAACAAAGGTTCAATTTTCTCCAAACATAATCATGCTAAATTGGTTGAATATTAATGCAATATATAATTCTAAAATATTTTTGATCACTTGATTAAATAACAAGATTAAAAAGGAACCTAAACCGGTCGTCCAAATTATCTTATTAGGTGTGATTTTCAATTACATATTCCCTTTAAACATGCAATATGGTGATCAATAAATAATAATAGAATAAACATTAATATTGGAAGCAATTTAACAATAATCCAATAATATAAAATCATTAGAACAATAATAGAAATAAAAGGAACATGATTCCTTACTTTGATTTTGCTTGCTTGCAACTATAAAATAATGACGAGTTAGTAACTTCAATGAAATAAATAAAATGATAACTAAAATTAAATTAAATAAAGTTGATTTGGGGCTAAACCATCAAACAGTTCTGCCTTTCACGCTTTGGTTTAAGGACAAAACCTCGGGTAAAGTACGAACTCCTTGGAGTGCTTAAGGGAGGTATTTTGAGAGAATAAGGGAGGCTAGTGTTTAGGCTAGAGCATAGAAGAGAGAAGGGAGTGTTAATTTATGCCCCAAACTGCAGAAATGAGGGGGTATTTATAGGGAAAGTGAGCAGAGGGAACACGTGGAACCCTAAAATGATTATAAAAAAAAAACCTAAAAAAGGTTGTCACGACACGTCAGCTATATGCCGCGACACGGGAAAATTTAGTGTGACACGGGACATATTTGACCTACAGAGGATAGAGCGCGTGAAATCTGACACGGGAAAAACACGAGAATTTCCCATGTCACGGCATGAGCACCGTCACACGGTAAGGTATGCCGTGACGCGGCAAGATTTCCTGTGACGCGGCACTTGTTACCGTGACACGGTGGAATTTATTTCCAATTTTACGTCCAGATTCATTTTAACCCTAATTACGCTCAGCATCTTTAAGTGCCGCTTCATAATTTCGGGCTATTTAGGTTTATTATTTATTAATCGGGTTAGAATAATAAATAATATGAAATGAATAAAAAGGTTTGGGCCAAAATATAAACTGGACTATGCTTTGACTAAACATTAGGACTGATATGTTGTCTATTTTATGAATAGAGTTTGATCGAATATGAAATTTAAGCACTCCGGGATTAAATACTCAACCCGACCAATAATGGCGGTGAAAGGTTGTTCATCATCGGGTTTGGTTTCGGGGAGACATTTTTAGGTGTCTACAAGTTCAGTTCAATTCAGTTCAGCCCCAATCAGTTCAGTTCAGCTCCAATCAGTTCAGTTCAGCTCAGTTTAGTAAATGTGAACAGACCCTTAGTATACGAGTAGTATAATACTATAGTATATAGAATAGATTGAATCTATTTTATTTTTTATTTTAATTTTTTTTTTCTTTTGACACATTGAATACATTGTAATCTTATTGGTTTCCTCTAGGGTTTCTTTTTAGGAGGATTTTTCTGGTTCCCTCTAGGGTTTTTCCCTTTGGGAGGGTTTTTCTAGCCTCCATTGCTAGATTTTTTTTTGGGAGGTTTTCCTTCACCCCTCTCTTTGTTTTTTTTTTCTCTTTCTCTTACATCTCTTTTCTTCTGGTCTCTCTTGTGAATCTTTGTAAGGGCTTTTATTGGAAATTTTACCGTTGATAAGCCCCAAAAAACTTTTAAATTGCTTTTAATAAATGGATCTCATGTTTGAGATGGTGGTTAGTCTATTAGGGTTAATTTCTTTTCTTTTTTTTTTGTCTGCCGAAGATAGAAAATTTTGGGTTTATTTCATAATATTCGAAAGTATGTAGAAGATCATATGGGTATTTTCACTCAAACAACTATTCATTAGTGGATCTCAAGTCAAATTAGTGCTAACTCATAGATTGTATTGCTTCGGATGAAGTTTTTTTATTAAGGCAATCGTTGATCGAATCAGCGATATATTTAGTTCTTGGGTGATTTGTACTTGTGTTGAAATTCTAATTTTCCTAGGAATTG